CCCTCTCCGCTCTCCTCCTTACACTGTGTTGCCAACCACAGAACAGTGATGAAGGAGGGAGCCCTACCCTCTCCTCCTTACACTGTGTTGCCAACCACAGAACAGTGATGAAGGAGCGAGCCCTACCACCTCTGCTCTCTCATCCTTACACTGTGTTGCCCACCACAGAACAGTGATGAAGGAGGGAGCCCTACCCTCCCCGCTCTCCTCCTTACACCGTGTTGCCAACCACAGAACAGTGATGAAGGAGGGAGTCCTACCCTCCCGCTCTCCTCCTTACACTGTGTTGCCAACCACAGAACAGCGGTGAAGGAGAGAGCCCTACCCTCTCCGCTCCCGTCCTTACACTGTGTTGCCAACCACAGAACAGTGGTGAAGGAGGGAGCCCAACCCTCTCCGCTCCCGTCCTTACACCGTGTTGCCAACCACAGAACAGTGGTGAAGGCTGGAGCCCTACCCTCTCCGCTCCCGTCCTTACACTGTGTTGCCAACCACAGAACAGTGGTGAAGGAGGGAGCCCTACCCTCTCCGCTCCCCTCCTTACACTGTGTTGCCAACCACAGAACAGTGGTGAAGGAGGGAGCCCTACCCTCTCCGCTCCCCTCCTTACACCGTGTTGCCAACCACAGAACAGTGGTGAAGGAGGGAGACCTTCCCTCTCCGCTCCTCTCCTTACACCGTGTTGCCAACCACAGAACAGTGGTGAAGCAGGGAGCCCTACCCTCTCCCCTCCCCTCCTTACACCACAGAACAGTGATGAAGGAGGGAGCCCTACCCTCTCCGCTCCCCTCCTTACACCACAGAACAGTGATGAAGGAGGGAGCCCTACCCTTCCCGCTCTCCTCCTTACACTGTGTTGCCAACCACAGAACAGTGGTGAAGGAGGGAGCCCTACCCTCTCCGCTCCCCTCCTTACACTGTGTTGCCAACCACTGAACAGTGATGAAGGAGGGAGCCCTACCCTCTCCGCTCCCCTCCTTACACCGTGTTGCCAACCACAGAACAGTGGTGAAGGAGGGAGACCTTCCCTCTCCGCTCTCCTCCTTACACCACAGAACGCATAAATTATTCATTCGTGTTATTCATGGCTGCGGATCTCACTTTCAAATAGCAATCCTTGTTTTAAGAAATCACATTTTTCGATATTATCCTACTGTTCCAGTCGACTTAATTTAGACAATTACATTTGTGTAAACAATATATGACAATGACTACCGCACATGTTGGTACTGCATACTGCAAGAACTCCCCTCAATGGCAGTTGAAACTGTCGCTAAACAATACTCATCCACTCACTAAATACCGGGGACCTGTTTCCAAGTGAGTGAATAATCCCTGAAAATCGAACTTAACCCTTATCCCACCAAGCTTTCTTCATATCCATTTCCGCCAAGTGGGCCTGTGAGGCCCGGTCACCCCTTTTTGATTTATATCAAAGGACCTGACAGGATATTACGTTCTTCTTCACTATTAGAACAGTCACTGCTGTCACTGACAATTTTCTTCAAAGGGAGGTTCGAACTCAGAATCTGATCCACTGTCAGAAGGTACTGCATCCGCACCACTACCATCATCATCTGCAGCAGCAGGCTGGAGCAAAACATCGCGAACATTGCTTCTCAAACAGTGGCAAACAGTGGCATTTAGAAGCTGGTATGATGATGAAGAGGAACACTTTTTATGGATAGACAACTTCTTTATTGCAGTGGATGCGACGTTTCGATTTAGACCCTAACACCGTTATCTAGCAAAGGATACACAGCATCTGCACAAGGAGAAATATATGCATGGCGGGTATTTGGGTTTATACAATAGAAGAGGTTGATGTGTGTTGACATGAGGATGTTGTGATAAGAAATTATTGGAGCCAGTAAACAAAGGGTGGGTTATTCTTGATTAGTTGATCGTAAGCTGTATGGATGTAATAACGTTGATCTCTGTTGATTGTCGGGTTGAGACGTGTAATGTTGATTGCCTCTAAGAGTTCTCGTATCCAATGGCCTACCTATGGGATCACATCTCTCCCCCATCATCAGCGAGATCTACATGACAGGACTCGAAGACAAGGCCCTCCACACCTCACCCGTCACACCAATATGCTGTTTCCGGAAAGTAGACGACACAGAAAGACCCCACCACCTTGCTTCCACGAGACCACAAAACCCTCCTGTAAGAACTTAGGGACAAAACGAGATAGGTCCGACTCTACACAAGCAGCTCACAGTTCCCCATCCCAAACTACCCTACGCCCGAGGTCCACAAAGACCCCATCAAAGCCCGTCTCTAGTCAGTTCCAGAAACACAGTCCATTACAATACCACCAAGCATCTCGACCGCCTTCTCACCCCTCTAGGTAAATTAGCTCAATCCTTTATCTCGAACTCCAACGAATTCTGCAACAAAATCAGCACTATCACCTAGCCAGGCAAAATAATGAGTTATAATGTGGTTGATCTATTCACCAATATACCAAGAGACAAAGCCCTAGCCATCATTAGAAGAAAAGTTGAAGGCATCCGCGCTAAACCTAAACACCCATCTCACAGTAGAAAGCATCATCCGCCTCATCCATTCCTGTATAAGTTCAACATTCTTCACCGGGTCTGATAAAATCTACCAACAAACCCATGGTCTACCTATGGGATCACCTCTCTCCCCCATCATCACCGAGATCTACATGGCAGAGCCCGAAGACAAGACCCTCCTCACCTTACCCGTAACACCAATATGCTGGTTCCGGAAAGAAGACGGCACTTTTGTCATAATCAACACCACCGATGATCCCATCTGCCTTCTCAAACACCTTAATGCCCAACATCCACGCACGACATTCGACTCCAAACACCTGCCTACAGGAAACCAACCCGCACAGACCAATATCTTCACTTCTCATCTAATCACCCACTGCAAGTCAAGAGAGGTATAATCGCCACCCTAGCCAGAAGAGCAAAGAACATCAGCTCCACAACCCTTGGCCTTGAAGTCGAGTTAGAATAACTTCGCCATGTCTTCATAAACCTTAATCAGTACCCAGCTAATCTAGTCAACAGAACCATCAAGACCACCCTCAACCCAAAAGACAAACCATCACATCAACAATCATCCCCGTTCATCACCAGTATACCATATGTCGATACAACCAGCCACCATGTCCGCAGATTAGTAAAGAAGCAAGCCAACATAGATGCTGTGTTCCAGAGAGGAACATCAATTCAGCATATCCTACAAGCCAACAGTAAACCAGCAACAAGCAACAAAGAAGACCCTTCAGGCGTTGTCTACTACATTCAATGCAAATGTGGAGACTCGTATATATAAACCCAAATACCCTTCATGCATATGTTATGTATCATTTGCTAGATAACGGTGTTAGGATCTACACAGAAACGTCGCATCAACTGCAGTAAAGAATTTGTCTATTCATTAAAAGCGTTCCTCTTCTCAAACTTGCTCGACGATTTATCTTTGACTGGCAGTTACTATGCAATGTATTCATAAGGAAGCTTTATCAAGTGGCGTTGACTGGAAGCTGAGGGGGGCTGACGGGGCCTCAGAGGCCGGGCAAAGCAGTTAATGCAATAATATTTGCTTTTTAAAATTAATGGTAATTATTTCAAAATAATTAAACTGAAACTTTTTCACAGCAATCAGTGTTGTGATTTTCAGGAATACATTGAATACTGAACATTTATATAAAGAAATGAAGTTTTGGCATACCATCAAAGTGCACTTCGTGCCTCAAATGACCCACTTGGTGAGATAAGGGTTAAAGTGGCTGGTGCTTTGTTAGTTGAGCATCTCGTAAATACTGGGTGTTTTTACATTTTAGTTGAACTGATATAAACAAGTCTATTCTGCAAATATATCCTGTATTGCCAGAGTATGTTTAAGGAGTCACGTGACAGTTTCTCGTGTCTGAATAAAACAAATCAAAATCTGAAATGTAACGAATATTTATTTCGTGAGTGCGATGTTTCGATACAGATTACTGTCCCGTGTCAGTAAAATATCTGCATTCAAACATCGCACTCACGAAATATAACAACTTGTTGGTCATGAAGTTTGTCAATATTGCTCTTCCCAGCTTCTAAAATGCCTCTCAAAGAACAGCATCTGGAATCTTTCTGGGCACCACATACAAAAGACCAAACCGTGGATCCTAATCAATTCTTGATACAAGAGGGCATCGACTGAACATGTAACGAATCAACCTTTCTCAAGGTGCGAGTAAACAACACACTTGTATCAAAACGTGCACATTAGAACAATCAGAGAAACATCAGAGATGTTGTTATAAACTTACCATGCTGTAACACGTACAGAGGCACATCGTGAAACACACACATACAAATGAACTACAATATCCTAAATCCTTTGCAATTGACGGTGCTGATTAATTTACTTTCTCTGTTTCATCCAAATCATATCATGGTGCGTCCATTAACTATATAATGAAACATCATCCATAATGTAGAAATATGGAAGTTCTCCATTGACTGTAAACATTTTACGTTGTGGGCAAGAAATATGGTGTCTCCAAAATGAGGGGTGACGTTTACCCTGGAGGAACATGGGCCTTAAGGTGTTCCCCTGCAGTGATATTGCGGCTTAATACTAAACTCACTCACCCAGTTGAGAATTTGTTTATGGATTTGTCAAGAGCAACTTTAAATACGAAATCAACTGCAGACACATTCATCGCAACAGTATTTAGTATTCTTGCCTTTTTTGTTCATATTTCACTTTACAGGAAACCTACATTCTTTGTATGCTTCAAGACACATTATTCACAGAGTTTATTCAACGCCAAAACACATATCGTCATTCAAACGTTTTGGTTTAACCAGAACTTTGTTGCCCCTCATGTATTAAAACAAACAAACAATCACTCTTTGTTGATGCCTCATTTAAATAAATCGATAATCAGATGGAAGGCTCTCGAGAATTGAATTATATATCAGTTGGAGAAGAGTCAAGTGGAGATCATTATTTGTCTGAATTCTTGTGCACGATCAGAATCCAGGCACCCGTGAAAGATGACAGGTCTTCTTCTACCGTGGGCGGTACTGACAACGTTCTTCTCAACAGGTTAGACTTTTACTCCTTGAAATCATGTTTGATATTGCAATTATGCTCTAATATAAACACAGCTTCTACCATTTAGATCAATTATATCAATTATAATTTCGAACGATTATATTTTATTATTTTAATGCTTGAATTAACGCATATTACCTGGTGTGTCTCTTGTCCTTTGCAAGAATTTATTTTAACGAAGATTGTGTAGATAGATGCATTTTGCCGTGCGACCTTTTGTGCGATACAATTCAGTGTTTGACAGCCATGTTTCCTCACTGCCATTGCTTGTAAACATGAAGTTGAATCAGAAGACAGTACAGGGAGTAATCATTATTGCAATTTTTGGGATAGTGTTACTGTAGTGACATCAAACCTTGTGACAACATTTGACCTTTCTTAACAAAATGTTTTTCCATCCAAAAAAGGCCGCACCAAGCATGTTGCTGTAACATCATTAATTATGATATGTTAAAATAATTCTTTTGAAAAACATGAAAAAGAAAGAAAAAATCAATTTGCACATCGGCTATTGGAGTTGTGACGCATGGAAATGGAATAAAAAATGTGTGTGTGTGTGTGTGTGTGTGTGTGTGTGTGTGTGTGTGTGTGTGTGTGTGTGTGTGTGTGTGTGTGTGAGTGTTAAAATAAATATAAAAATATTTTTTTCCCAATTTTGTTACTGTAAAGTGTAGAATAGGCTGCGATAAATTAGTTACCATAAAAAGTTATTGATTTTGAGTTCAGTTTGTTGGGTACAAACATATAACATAAATATGCACAAATTTTGAGAATGACTCATACCGTACAACCAGAAATTACTGAGAATTTAAAGATTGTAATTTTATTTTTTTTAAATCACTCATTACTCACGTATTAAATGTGAATATTAGCAGAACATAACTTTAGATTCAAAGACAGGTGAACAGTTAGTATTTTGTCAAGTCACTATGGGCAGCAATGCAGGCTTCAATGCGGCGGGGCATACTACTGATCAAAGAAGTTAGAAAGTCGTGGTCCACGCTGTCCCAATATCGGGCCACCTCTTCTTATTTCATTTCAGCAATATTTGTCAGATTTTTCTTCTTGACACTTTCCTTCATAAGTCCCCAAACATTTTCAATTGGATTTAGGTCAGTGCTATAGCTTGGCCAATCTAATAATGTCATATTTCGGGTCCGAAACCAGGCCTGTGAATGCTTTGAACGATGTTTTGGATCGTTGTCCTGCTGGAAAATCCAAACATTTCCATAGAACACGTGAGCAGATGGAAGTAAATGTCCCTCGAGAATATCTGTGTACCGTTCATATTCCCTTCAAATACACAGAGGGGCGTTGCCCTTAACACAGATATGCCACCCCACACGTTAAATTCCGGACTGTACTTTAATTGGGCGCTGATACAAAGGTGTTTTAGTTTGTTTGGTTCAGAATTTCAGTGTATTAGGAAACAGCCACACACAACTTTCATCTGAGAAAATCACATTGTCCCAGTTACAATTTCTATGCTGTAAGCACCAGTTCAACCTTTGCTCCTTTTGTTCAGGTTTCATGATCGGTGATGGAATTCCTCGACTTTTCTGCAAACCCATTGCATGCAGCTCAGTTCTAATTGTCTCCTTACAAACAGCCACAGTTCCTCTATCAATCACATCCAGCCTTGAGTTTTCTAAACTCATTCGTTTCTTTTGAGAAACAAGAATACCAAGCCGCCTCCTGTCACCTGTTCTACTTGAAATCACTTTAGCTGATATGATGTCCTTGTTCTAATACTCTAAAATCAACTGCCTCTTCTCTAAATCATCCATACTGAGGATCACTGAAAATGTCGTCTGCAAGTAAACAAATGGGGATTAACGGAGTTGTCTCTCTTGAATGAAACCAAGCACTTGATAGCTGGTCAAGGCTGTTTATACTAGAAATCCAATGAAACATATTCCTAAAATTCTCAATAATTTCTGGTCATACCATATATATATATATATATATTGTGTGTGTATATATATATACTTATATATACTCTCACAGCAAGAGCGAGGTAAACAAGAAACATCGAGTGTTATGATATTTTGACATCCTCTGTAACAAATATATATATGAGGTGGTATATTTGGCGGGAGGGGTAGAGACGAAGCTGGGGTAGAGAAGAGGAAAGGGTGTTAGGGAAGCAACGAGAGGAAACTACGGCACCAGGGCTCACCTCTCTGAGCATAGCTTCTACTTAGGTGGTTGGGGACTCACTTCCAGAGTCATATAGTCCAAACCTTAACCAGACTTACGTGTCGCCCACCGCTTTACCGATGACAGCGCTGCGCCGAGAGCAATGACCACGCCAAATTTGTCAAACATGTACCGATCATGACAAGTATTCCACATGTTTTAATTAATATATATATATAGACATACACTTCTCTTTCCTCTTAATGCCTTTTCTGTGTGACATGATTTGCTTTCTCGGGTGATGTTGAACATCATTGTTGTGGACATGTTTCATTATCCAAGGCCTTTTCCCAAACAAAGGAAGAGATTTATTGTTTAATGTCATCTGTTTAATGCTGTACTCAAGTACTATCCCAGCTATAAGACGGCTGGATTTTATGGAAATGATCGAGTTTGGACCAGACAATTCCGTGATTGACATCATGAGCAGCGATCAAGGGATTTGTGACAAGATGACATGCATCAAACAAGTCATCGGATCTGATCACTCAGTCAGTTGCCTTGAAAATACGGCAAACATTGGCTCATGAAGATGGTTCTAACCCGCTCGTCACACACGGGAAGAGCTAGGATTATCGTTTAGTTCTATGTTTAATTCGGATTAAAATATCCAAGGGCACACTTTCACAACTACTTCACAGAAAAAAAAACAAAAAAACAAAAACAACAACAACAATTCGTTTAATGTGGATATATTGGCTGGAAATAGAGACAAAGTGATTGGTAGTTGAGTTGAGTTGGGGTTTGCGTCACATCGGCATTATTCCAGCCATATAGTGACGAGAACAAGTTTGCATTAATAAACATTGTAAGTACATACTCGGAATGAGTTTTATTTCAAAAACATATGTTTATTACATTGTCATTTAAAAGCAGAAAAAGTCATAGCACCAAATTTAAAGGCAGGCAATTTGTTAGTGACATTTCACAGTTACAATTTATGATAGTTACATTTGACAGTTACAATTTATGATACAGATCAACTTCCCTCAGGTTGTTCACAATGAGATGAGCGCTCACGCGGGAGAACAGATCTTTCAGATTTGTTGCATCATAATGTAAGTCCCTTGCAGACGATAAGTCCACGCATTCAAGCAGAATATGCTTGATGGTGAAAACCTCATCGCAAGAGACACACATGGGGGGTCCATCCCCATCCGTTTTCAGCAGATAGCCATGAGTAAACCGACTGTGGCCAATACGACATCGTCGTAAAATTACCTCATCACGTCTTGACTGACAACCCAAGTAGGTATAACCAATTGTTGTCTTCAATTCATACAGTTTATTTCTTCCTACTTGGGTGTCCCGAGTATAGCTTTTGATAGTGGGTTTGAAACCACTGTACGGGATCAGCAGTGGAGATAAGGGCTTGTCAAGAGCTGCTTTTGCTGCAGCATCGGCTTTTGTGTTACCTGCTATGCCGACGTGACCCGGCAACCAGCAGAGGACGATGTCACATTGGCCAGTAGAGAGGTCGTTGTAAAGTTCTAAAATGTCCAGAATGATTGGGTGACTTGAAGTAACATTTTGAAGTGCTTGAAGGCAAGATAATGAATCTGTGAAAACGATGAAGTTTTTGGAATGATTCTGCTGTTTAATATAGGTCAAAGCTGAAAAAGATAGCTTTGGCCTCGGCAGTGAAAATGGAACAGTTGTCGGGAATCCTAGAGGAGACAGTCTTAGATCCAATGACTGTAGCACTGGCAACTTGGCCCTAATCCTTGGATCCGTCTGTGAAAATGGGTGTCATATTTGGAACGTAACTGATTGTATTCCTTCTGGAACACCAAGGGATTTGTTACGGACTTTTTGAGTTTAGTGAGGGTAACATCGACCTGTGGTTTCACCATCTGCCAGGGTGGTGAAGACAGGAGTCGGTAAGGTGCTATGCTATTGAGATCAATTTTAGCTGCAGATATGTATGGTTGAATTCTGATTCCAAGTGGTGGAACCAGGCTTGGCAGTTTAGGAAACAAGTTTTCATAGAGAGGGTTGAAAACACAATTGTATGCTGGATTTGACTCATTTGAACGTAGTTCAGTGATATACTGCAGTGAAAGTTTAATGCGGCGTTGTTCAAGGGAAGGTTCGTTAGCCTCTGCATATAGACTGTCTACTGGAGGGGATACCTGATATATTTATATATACATATGAGCAACAATTAAACACCACATGAATTAAAGGACATGTTTTACATATTGTTTCGAATAGGCGATCAGACACTAACATTTTGGAATATACATGACAATCAGGTGCGTCAAACAACAGCTCAACAGCACATTGGGGTATATCTTTCAAAACTGCAGCATGTGCACCACAGTTTTCTGAACAGGCATTAAAAATATATTTTTCTTGAAATGGCCACGAGCGCTTTCAGCATGAATCAAGCCGTGATATCCAGTCGCAACATCGACTTGTGAGGAAGTATGAGATCGTCGGTGAAGTAAACGATAGCCCGAGACCTGGACGTCCGAGAAACACCAGAGACTATGATGACTGAGTCCATAATTATGATTCTGGCAAGGTTCAATCTCATGACCCATGCCAAAGAAATGTGCTGGAAATTGAAAGTGGACACAACAACAGTACAATCAGACGTGGCCTTTGGTTGGTGGTCTGAGAGAACACTGTCCCATCAGACGCCTATCAAATAGGCACAGGTAGGATCTGTTACGTGTTCGTTTATGTGTAGTGATTCAGAACAAGGCACAACAAAAGAGGAGATGAACGATGATCCTTTTTACTTGAACATCATGGCTGACTACACCAACTAATGACGTAGCACACAT